TCTCGATGCCGATGTCGAAGACGACCCAGCGCCAAAGGACGGCTCACCCAAGAAACTACCCTCTCAACACCGCGACGATCTCGACGAGCTCGATACCTGCATCGACCTCCTAGGCGGCCGCCTCACAGACCTCGAATTCCTATCCCGCCGAATCAAGACAGGCGAGACACCCACCAAAGCCGTCCACGAAATCATCGACCAGTCCGCCTCCGAGATCCTCAAAATGTTCATCTTTGGCGCAGAAGACGAAGGCGGCAACCGCCACTGGAACGCTGAACAAGCCTGGTTCCTCATCAAAGAGCTCGCCCAGAAAGAAAGCCTCCGCTACAACGAAGTCCTCATCGACGACATCCTTAAAACAGGCGGCGAATCCGTCCTCCGTGCCCTCGAACAGGCAGAGCTCATCTCCATTGTCTCCGGCGCCAACGGCCGTCCATCCATCATTAAGCCAGGAAAACCCGTCTACCATCCCGCTTTCAAGCGCCTGACCGAGGACAAGGTGTTGAAGAGTCGATTAGATCTGGCGATCCTAACTCATCTGACAAAGATTGAGAGTACGACGATTGACAAGTGCGAGAATGAGTTGTTGCTGTTGAGCAAATTGAGGAATCAGCCGGCGCAGACGGCGGGACGGGTGAATTATCTATTGAGCAAGTTGATGACGAGTCAGGGGAAGGTGGAGAAGTATGAGGTCGAGATGAAGGGGTTGAAGAAGGTGCTTGGGAATGAATATTAGGTTTGAAAACTGCGTGTACAATGATACCATCTCCCTTCAATGCTAATGGAATGGGTTGAGTGTCGTGTTGTGGGCGTATGATATACACTGTTGACTGTCGGTGGAGCCTTTCCTCCAACTTTTGTTGCGCGTATTTTTCTCAAGGCCATGTGCTGTTGCTTTAGCAGATAAAGCTTCAACCAAACGCATGATTCCAGTGTCACCAACTTATTCCAACCACACTTCTTGTCCTGGATACTCAACGTTTGCTGTCCAGCTATCCGCCGTGACCTTCGTCAAACTTAGCTCCCTAAAAGTCCTAATCTCGACCCCATGCTTGTCGAACACAACATGTAACCTCGCTCCGCAACCACGGACTTTGCATCTCCACCGCCTGCGATCTGGATCCATCAATACGATTTGGGAGCCATGGCCTTTGCGTTTACAACCAGAGTACCCCGGCTCTGGGGCTTCTCTCATTGGCTTTAGGATATCGGCGACCTTCTCCTTTCCTTGCACATGAGGACAGACATATACATCAGTGCCTTGAATGGTTTCAGCGATCTTGACGAAGGGTATCGATCCAAAGAGACAGGCAGCACAACAGCTATCGCGGTGTTCTGGCAGGAGGTGCTGTGGCGTTCCCCAGGGGCTGCGTTCGTCGGCTCTGTATAGAGGTATTGTTTGAGTCAGACAGAAGCAACACGACTCCTCGCATGATGTAATAAGAGTGTTACATCCTTGCGAGCATGCGGGCCATGAACGTCCTGTCCCAGGTCCTTTAGATAGCCTAAGGAAGTCCTCAAACGCCATTTGTGTATGTGGGCACAAGTATATCGTGCCAGCGGATGCTGTGCATTGTCTTTCGCTGGCGATTATAGCAGGGCATTCCTGCTCTAGCGCTCCAAAAGCTGATGATGGATGGAAGTCTGTACAGTAGCTGCACAAAAGTTTTTCATATGGTGTGTATCGTCTGGAGGTGGTGTTAGCCTCTTCGTACTCAGCTAGTCGGTTGAAGCAATCTTTGCGCAGGCGCCAGGCGTATTCGTCGAAGTCTCCTCCATCAGCCTGAAGCCCCTCTAGCTGCCTTTGGACGCCGTTTGTAGAAGACAGACCCCAGAGGTATTTGCATGTCATACCAAGGCTGAGTGCGTCGACTGGTGGTAGCAGGTCGAATATGTCCAAGATCAGCTCTACAGGTAGACAGGGTAGGTGGCGTCCTTTATCGACATGATCGGGCTCGCTATCTGCCTTTTGAGGCATCCATATGAAGGCGAGATCTGGCCTGTGGTATGTGCTGCGACCTGTTCGAGGGAAACGGTCGAGCTCGTGTCGGTGTATGAAATACTCCTTCGCGGCAGAATGGTCAGCGACATTGTGCCGAAATTGACGTACCGGTGCACCGTACATGATCCTGGGACTGTCGGTCGTAGCCATTCTGAAGGAGATTTCGTAAAAGTTGTGGCGAGAGAAAATTCAGGGTGATGAACGAAAGGTTAATGGAAGTTTGTTGCGCTGATTACAAGCGTATAAGTTAAGGCAGCAATGTGCGCTAGTGTTCACGTGCGCAGATACACCCATGGTGTGATTGGACCCTTTTCTTTGGGCGGTCCAGTCGAAAGCATCCCGAGGTCCGATAACGTTGAGCTCGTTACGAAAGAAAGATGTACTACAGTAGCTGTACCCCGAACTTAGTCAATGAAAGATCTTGTTAGCGAAGATATATGTTAAGAATTTGATAGCGATAATAGCTGCCTAGATATCCATAACCCCGTTCCCATCTAAATCAAAACGCCGGGACATGTCTGATCCCAAGTATACCCTTCAACGCCGTGCCACCCTATAGTATCATTTTGAAGCCAACAAGTGAGACCCCGTCTCCCAACTTCCAACAAATCTACATCTACTGATGTATCTGGCTCACATGCCCCGCCTGCCCAGCACCACCCCACTCACTATCATCATCACTACCCACATCCGTCCAGCTCGTAGGCGTCATAATGCCCTGCCTGTCGCCGTCGAACTCGCTGAAGCCGCCCTCGGAAAAGGCATCTGTAAACCCGCTGTCTGAACGCGCGTCGTGGTCTGTGTCGTTTTGTTCGCTGTTGGGCATGCTAAGGATGGCGATGTCGTTGGGGTGGGCGGAGGCGACGGAGCCGCTCATGTTCATGGAGCGCTCGGAGCGCGGGGTTAGGGTGCCGGTGGAGAGGTGCTCGGCGTCGTTGTCGTCGAAGAAAGGGTGGGAGGGAGTGGGTTCGCCTGCTTGCGAGGAGGTGAAGGAGTAGAAGGATTGGGCGGCTTGGTCGGCGTCTTCCTGGGCGGGCTGCGCGGGCGATGGGGTCTCGGGGAGGGAGTGCTCGGGGTCGGGTGTTAGGTCGACGAGTGTGCCGGTGGTGGGTGTGGACGGGACGTCAGCTATGATTGTAGCGGAGCTTTCGCGGGCGGCGGGTTCTTCGTAGGTGAATGGCTTCGGTGAGGGCGCTTCGTCTTCGTCGTGGTCGAAGAGTACTTGGTCGTCGGAGAAGGGGTTGGCCATGGTAGCAGCGGCAGCGGAGCCGGCGGCAAAACCAGCAGCACCACGCTTCTTCAGGGTACCGTTCGAGTTGTCCTTGCCAGTTGACGTCGCGTTGTCCCTGAGCATGCCATCGCTGCCAACCATATCGTCGAAGCTTCTCGTCCGGTCAGCCCTGGACCGCCTGGCAGCCACCTCAGCCGTCTCAGCACCGATCCTAGCCAGCTCGTCCAGGTCGACGGCGATACCCTCTTCCCTCGCCCGCCTGATCAGCTCATTCCTATTCCTCCTGATCAACTCCTCCCTCCGTTGCTTCCTGGCTTCGAAGTCATCGGACGATTCGCTCGGGCGGCGAGGCTGAATGTCATCGCCGAGGTTATGCAGCGCGATGGCGATCTTGCGACGGGTTTGGTCGGCCCATTGTCGCACTTGGGGAGACTCGTAGATGGCGATACCGGCGGCGACGATGACGGACGCGGCGATTATGAGGCCTGATGTGAAGGGGTGGTTAGGACGGTGCGGCGGGGTTTGAGTGCTGCCTTGAGGAGATGCGAAGCGCGCGCCGGTGCCTGCAAGCAGGTTGGCATAGGAAAGTAAAGTAGACAGTAGAGAAATACGCGACAAGAGAAATAACGTTGAATATGCTGGGGACACCGCAGCAACATGCATAAGTGGAGTTATCCGTACTCACCTTTGGCCAGTGGCGCAGGCATCTCTGCGGAGTTTGTAGCAGCGGATGCAGTCGTGCTACTCAAAAAGATTTCCTGACAGTGTGGTGGGAAATGATTATAGGGAGGAGAGTCCAGAGGCTTTTGACCTTGGAAGAGGCGTGTAAGGAGAGAAGGTTCGAGGGCTGAGAGCATTCGTGGTTCGTCCGGTCCTTCGCCACTTGCACAGCCGCACATGCAGGGCCCGTGGAGCTGGGGGCTCCGGGCGGCTTTTGGTGGGGTCGCCTGCCGCCAATCTTGCTGCACATCGCCCCGCACCCGTTGGACTAACTGAATAATTAGGCCCCTGGAACGGCATAATTCACTCATAGCTGCGCATATCTGGAGATTCGATGAAGTCGTTATAAAATGTACTGAGTATCGCCAATGTCCACGCGTCTACATCATGTTGTCAAGTCACTATGAGAAGAGTTTGGATCAATTTGAAGATTACACGCAGAAAGTATTGTTTGGTAAAGGATTGTAATGTCGAATGTATGAAGCAATGTGAGAAACAAGAAAGCATGCCGCACACCAAAGAGCCCCATGTAGCCCTCGACCCTGATCTAACATCTGAGACCAACTCTGTGTTCGAGAAACGACTTCTAAAGTCCATGCTAGAAGCCTTGATCAAAAGCACCAAGCTCAGACAGGCGGACTTGATCACCGGTGATGTGCGAGAGGGCCTGCGCGGTCCAACTCCACCATTCGACGGGAATGCACAGAACATGAAAGCAAGTCTTTTGAGGGGGAAAGGCAAGAAAGGAAAAGGAAGGTGAGGAATACGGGTCGTGAAAGTCGCAAATTGAGAGCTCATGGAATGCCATGTACGAGCCGTGCTTGATCAAGGTAGACGAAGTGGCAGGACCGAATCGGGAGCTTGGTAGGCGTAATCTGTGGGCTGAAGAACCAACTTGTGCGATCCATGCAGAGGAGAAGGCATGCGTATCTTGCCTCAAATGCTATCCGGGGTCAGAGTTACTTCGTCGTTAAAGTCCGGTTCAGCATCGATCGCTCTGTGCATGGAGGGCGGGAATCAAGGTCTGAGAATGTTGAGATCCAAGAGCTACGACTCGGGATTTGGCTTTTGGCGTTTTGAGGATGCAGAATCAACATCTGCAGACTTGCGCTTCTCGATCTCGTTGCGCTTGAATTCTTGTTCGAGTTTACGCTTCTCGGTCTTGGAGCGCCAGATCCGGTCTTTCGTGCCAAACTCATAGTCGACCTCCGCTGAGCTTGTCACGACTTTATCTCCGTCATGGGTATGAACCTTGGTGCCATCGAAGGGCCATACATGATCGACATATTCCTTGGGTATGACGCCGCCAGCAAGCCATTCCTCTGGCTGACCGCGACCGCCCACCAGGAGAAGATTTAAGCCACTCTTTTGGTTTTCCCGTACTGACAACCAGATATCCGAACCAGAATCTTCGAACTGCTGGATAGTGATGTCTGAGCGATCCTCCGGTACTGCGCTCTTTCGAACATAGATAGGTATCTTGACCTTGCGTGTCTTCTTGGGGACGATGGTATTCTCCTGGGCCTTTTCTGGCGTAGATCCCGCATCTTCATCTGTGTTGACGGAAGTGGGAGAGGGCGAACAGGTAGCGAGTGATTCCTGTGTAGTAACAACCTCCGGAGTCTTGTTAACGAGACGTTTCGATTTCGCAGCCTCGACAGGGCCCGCAGGAAGAATCTCTGTCGTCACAAAAAAAGCAGGCGTGAGATCTCGATTGCTCATACGAACGACAGATATACGACGTGGGTGGCGTGCGCTGTCGTGGTATAAGAATTTCGCTCGTTGTTCTGCCATTACTAATGCAAGGTTAAAGTCGAACCGTGAAGATCGAAAGTAGTACTTACAGTAGTTATCGAAGACTGATATGAAAGAAGTGGTCGGGTTCTTCTGTTGCCAAATAAAATGTCGCATGACGCGTTCAAAAGTCAAATCTCGCACCGGTAGGAACTCATTGAGAGACTGGAACGCGGCCCCTTTCTTGTATTTCGGATGCACACTGGGCCAGCAGTCTTTGGTCACGTAGCAGCTCAAGGTGCCGGAGGTCTCGTAATGTGCACGGTAAAAGTACTCAGGCACCTCGCCGTGCTGCTTATCTTTAGAGGCGAGATAGACGTCTTCGTCCTCGGGGAAAGAACTGAAGATTGTTAGCTGTGAGTTCTGAGTTGTTTAAAATATAATTACATGACGAAAGGTTCCTCGTAAAAGGTGTGCTTCTTCAGTGCGTCGCGTCTCAACTGCTTGGCTTCGAGCTTGTCCAACTTTGCCTGTGTTTCAGCCAACTCGCGTCTCAAATTCCTGTTTTGGGCTTTCAACGTAGTTTCCAAGCTCGTCTCCTTGATCTGAACATCGACGACTGAAGAGGACTTTGACGAAGACCTTGACACTGTCTCAGCCATGAAGTCTGCAGATACCTCGCCCGGGCCTGAGTCCGATGTTGAGGGACTCATGGTATCCATGTGCGAGATTGGATTGAGTTCGAGATGGAGCATTGTTGAGTTGTTGATGCAATGTAGGAGATTGGACAGAGAAAGAGGAAGTAGAGAGAGGATGGAAGACGGTTGGGAGGTAGCAAAGACAGTTTATATATTGGATGAGGCAATAGGACTATTGCTGACGGAGAGACTCCTTGTCTCACCTGGAGAGACCTGTGGTAAAGGCAAGAGGTAGATGTCTTATCAGCAGTAAGAGAGGACGCTAGGAATCCATGGCCAAACTGATGTGAGAGACTGTGGCAACAGTATCTAGGGTGAGAGTAAACTTGGATGACGATAGCAAAGTTCAGATACCTTTGATACTATAGCCATGCAAGAAAGCACTATTACGATATTGGTAGACCATCGAATCGGGGGTCATGATTACATTACTTCGATGGATCTCTATACTCTGATAAGCGGTAGACTGTGATGACTGCATGGCTATACCAGAGATCATAACCGAGAGCGCTCATAGGCTTTGACAACGAAGAGGTGGCAGGTGCAACGAACTGATGTGATGACTATGCCTTAGTCGGAGTCAAAGGCGCGGTTGGTAATGTTAGAAGATGCAGGTCAAGCTCGGTGTGGCTGGCTCAACTTCCGCCAAGGCCTCCGCGCGCCTGATTGGCGGTCGCAACCGCGTCTCAGCGAGCTGCCACTTGCGACACGCAGCATTCCGAGGTTGCACCACCACATTTCTAGAGATCGTGATCGGGCAGCGCTTTCTGCAGCTGCAATGAGTTCCTCTATAGAAACCGAGATTCTGAACAAGTACAATCTCACGACACTGTACCCCGCAACCTGGCCGCAGGAGAAGGACGAAGCCGACGAAGAGGATACGTTCGACGAGCCTATACCCAAAGCCACGAAACAATCGATACGGCGGTCCAAATCACGATACTCAGTGTTAGAGCCCAGTGCAAGATTCTCGCGGCAGGTTCCGGGAGCAGAGCGCTCGAAAGATGGCGTGGAGACGTTGGTCCAAAAGGATGAACAAGACCCATTGGGCATGTACCCAAGTGTAGTGCAGGTGCTGCGGGCAAAGAACATACAGGTCGAGGATGACATCAAGCTGCGTACGTCCCAGCCATATAGCAATACATACAAGGCCTGTCTAATGGACACACAGGCAATCGCTTCCTCTTAAGCTCCACCACCTTCTCGCCCTCCCTCTTCCTCTCCCAAGTCCACAATGAAGCCTCCACCGACTCCCTCCTCGCCGGTCTTGACTTCCTTAGCCGGTCGATTGAGAAGAAGTCGGCTTCGCTCAAAGTCCTCGTGGAATCCAACTTCGATCGCTTCGTAGGCGCGAAAGCTACAATCGACCGTGTATACAATGAGATGCGGGACCAAGGGAAGGAGCAAGTGGAAGCGCCCAACAAGGACCTACAACCTGGCACCGGCAGACCCAGGGCTCGATCGAGCTTCTCTGGCCGAAAGACAAGCGCATCTCTCACACCAGGGATGGTTGACGCGGTGCCTGCGGAGAAGAGGAAGAATGCGCTCGTCAAGGAGAGCGAATACGGTGTGCATGGTATCAAGGTGCCGCTGACCGAAGTCGCTGTCAAGGCGGAAGAAGTCTGGGGACCTGCGCTCAACGGACGTGAGAGGGAAGAGACATTGAAGTCCATCATGGAGTCTGTGGAGCATCACCGAGGGTTGTTCGAAGTAGGATCAGCTATTCAGGACGCCATACGCCGGAAGGACCACGAGACAATTACCGAAGAATACAAGCGCGCGAGGAAGTACGCAGACGAAGCCCGATACATTGTAGAACAGGCGACGTCTAATCAGAGGCCGCTAACCGATGCCGAGATACATCAAGTCATTGTGACGGCTAGGATGTGGTCAGATGTCGAGCGGCAGATTGAGCGTTTCAAGCGCGAATCCTGGAAACGCCTGACCGCAGCGCATTTCACGCACCTACAGACTGGAACCGAAGACACCAAATCGGACGAATACCTGAGCATCATCTCAATCATGCTTGAGCTTGGCGTGGAGGAGAATCCGATTTGGGTTTGGCTGCTCTCACGCTATGAGCACCTCAAGTTCCAGCTCAACTCCAAGTGCCAACACTCGCTTGTTGAAATCGAAATCCTTCGTCGTCATCTGGCGAACGGCGAGAAGCCGAGCATGCGTATGCTGCAAAAGCATCTCCGCTCAGTTCCTACCAGCAGCAATGTCAGCGCTGAGCCTTCAAAGCTTGACACACCCAAGGTGACTGAGTTCTGGGAACACGTGTATGCCTCCATGACGACCCTGCTTTCAAACAAATCCGGGTTGCTTGCTGAACTAGTTGAATACTGGGAGATTGTCCAGTCATTCCTCTCCGGTCGCGCTCAACGAAACCTTCCAACAGGCCATCACAATCAGTCGTCTGTCCACCACCGCCTGAGTAGTGAGAATAAAGCTGAGCTGGAGAGAGGCACGACCGAACTCATCAGCATCCTGCGGGACCACCTGTTCTCGTTCTTCTCGGATCCTCCTATTGAGGATGTGTCTATGCTCATGTCACCACTGCCTATGAGTCCGACACCAACCACACCTGGAACACCACTGAGCGCGGCTTTGAGTCCCATGTCGGCATCGAGGTCCCGGTTCGATCCTGCGAAAGCGCCACCGCCATCACCTAGTCGCGGTGAGTCTTGGGAAAAGTATGCTTTCTGGCCTCCTAACGCGAATGCGCTTTCTGGATCTCACTATCTATCCAAGATGCTTGTCTTGATAGGCACCGCAGCCAACGAACTTGCATCGCTTCAAGTTCCCGAGTCTGGAGGTAGCGGCCGCATCGACGAAGCGCTGCGCCTGCTTCTTGGCGGTGTCCGTGAGCGCTGCATTCAAGCTGTATGTGCAGCTTGGAACACGGATGCTGAGAAATTGAAGGTGCTTGAGGATTGGACTCGTCACGTTGACCGCAAAGATACCACAAACCTGCCTCAGCGTTTCCTGGCAGTACAAAGCTTTCTGCTTAATAACCTGCAGAAGATACTCTACGTCGAGGCATCAAGCAAGACAAGAGTGGATGTCGTTGTACCACCGAGCAATAAGCTGCTGCAGATGGTTAGAAGTCAATTCGTCACCAGCTTGTACAGGACACTAAGCGGAATGGTCGAATGTGCTGAGCGGGGCAGACAAGCTTTGGGTGCTGAGTTTGAGATCAAAAGTGATGATCTGACCATCGACGAGCAAGATGATCAGAATGGCAACGACTGGGGCAGGGTCGATGCCAACAAGAAGGTAAGCATACATGTCACCCTTCCGACTATCTCCACTAACAACTTCCAGTCCATCCGCCTCCTCCTAACTCTCGCCAACATGTCCGCCTTCCAGTCCGAAATAACCCCCCAACTCCTCACCCTCTTCGAAACCCTCTTCAGCGTCCAACTAACCGACGAAACAAACCGCATTCGCGACGTCCTCTCCCAACTCGACGCCCAACTCTTCCGCTCCTACACAAAACCGCACGCCACTAAAATCCACTCTACAATCGAATCCGGCATCTTCAGCCCCACCTGGGCACCTCCCCCCGACACCCGCAAAAGCGTCGCAGACCGCGACCCAAGCCCCTACGTCTTCACCGTCCTCTTGGACCTCGTCATCGTGCACACCGAGTCATCTACAACATCCGCACCCCTAACCCCACGCATCCTCCGCTCCCTCTTCGAAGCCACAACAACCTCCCTCATAACGACCTTCCAGTCCGCCAACCTCCCCACTATCTCCCTCCCGCAACTCATGCAAGCAACCCTCGACGTGGAGTTCATGGCACAGACACTTGCTTCGTACACTACAGAGAAGGCATCGCAGATCCAGACGGATATCTACCAGGTGCTGGATCAGAAGACGGATAATGCGGCGAGAGTGAGGCTGCAGGAGGAGTTGGGCAGCTTGAGGGTGAGCTTGAAGAGGTTGAGGGAGGGGACCAAGGTGCAGTTTGCTTGCTTTAGGAGGGTTAAGAGGGGGACGCTTGCGGGTGGTGGGGAGGGGCAGGAGGAGAGGAGGGGGAGGTAGGATGGGTGTTGAGGGGTGGATAAAGGGGATGAAGATGAGTGTGTGATAGGGGATATATTCAAATTTGTCGATATGTGACGGTACTGTCGTTGCGCGACCTATCCGACCTTCAAGTCGAGCATTGAACCGATGAACTTGAATGCATGCAAGTATAAAATCTGCCTTTTCGTGCCGCTTCCTTAACGATACTTCTTACATTTTCTTCAACATCCGCCTAAGCATTAAGTACCCGAGTATCTTCACATCGCACACACTTTAACATGCCGCGCGACGCCGTCGAAGCCGCCCTCGACCTCTTCTTCCGCGCACGACACGATCCCTCAATACAGCCATCCGCGTGGGACGACCTCGTGGCCACGTTCGACGAACAGCAACTTGCGCAGCTCGAGGATGCAACGAGCGTGCTGCGACGCAACTGGCCGAGGCATGTACCTTATCCTAACCTCGTTGGGTTTGTGAGGTGGCAGGTAGAGAAGGCGGAGAGAAGGGACAAGGAGCTGGATAGGAGGGAGAAGGAGGATAAGAGGAGGGGGAAGGAGGATGAGAGGAGGGAGAGGGAGGATGAGAGGAGGGAGAGGGAGGATGAGAGGAGAGAGAGGGAGGATGAGAGG